TCTCAAATTGGAAAAGAGATCTATGTACACAAAGGCAGCGGAAATGTAAAAAAATGCAAGTGATTAATGCTGAAGAACTTACAAAAACAGAAGATGAGAGAACAGTGCAAAAATACTGTCAGTCAGTTGGTTCTATACAAAACATAAAACCGACGAGCATAAGCTTATGTACTGATAAGAATATACATTAGTGTACAAAATAGCATGCATAGTTTTTTAAAGGCATTCAATAGTACAAAAAATGGAACATATGGCAGTCATAGTGAATTATGGAAATAAACATAGTTGTTCACAAAATTTATACATACAAGAGAACTTGTCTGTCCAAATAATGGCTCTGAACTTGAGTCAACAGAACAAATACCAGATGAAGTATAACAATACTGCAACAAAACCAAATAAAGTCCAGTGATGTAAAAATCAATTAAGCATGTTAGTTTTTCTAACACAAGTCATATAAGATTATAGAGGTATGATCTAGAAACATCTGCATATATAACGTTTTGTGCAAAATATCCACAAAAAGATATTTTTTAGAAATGGAGAGAATGTTCCCATCGGTGGTGATTTCAATAGAATTAAGCTGTGTTACCTTTGAGTACTCTAGTGTTGTTAATGCTGGTTAAAAATGGGATAGCAGCACAAAAATGGAGCTTGATGAGAACAACAGTGATGAAATTAATTCCTGTCCACTTTAGCTGGACACTAAATAAACAACTCAACTTTGAGCCTGCCAAGAAAGTTGAGGCAATTAAGAAAATCAATAGAAATGTTTCACCAGTTCACAATATGATCCGAAAACTACAGTACATATTTATATCCAGAGATTTTGACTGCAACAACCATGGGGCAAGACGAAAATGCAGTAATGGGTAAGTTGTCCAGATTTGTTCCATAGAATCCATTCTGAAGTCCTGTTATGCAATTTCCATCTTCTTAAATTATTGTTATATTTAGACACATTTAAATTGGTTCTGGATTCACTGATGGTCAGCAAATTAGGGTATGGCATCATGATGCATGAAAACACTTAAACGTTTATCTCAAGAGGACATGCTGACCTAAACATTAATTTGCTAGAAGAGCTGGCATTATTATAAACATTACTTATTTGCTTTGTACACAAAGCTGTGGTTAATAATAGTTTATATTAAACATCAAGTTAAACAAGACTTGGGAGCACAGGGGCACTCAGCCATTCCATTCTCTTGGCTTATAGAGTGCCAACAATCCTAAAGTGGATAACATGGCTTCAAAAGAACCATTTCATGTATTTATTAATGCATTATATATCCTTCAATTTATTTGAAAGATCCTCAAGGTTGCTAATTGCAGAAATAATGTATAAAATATATTTCAGGGGGGAAAAAGACCCAACAGAATGAATGCTAGTAGGGGGGGAAATATCACATGGCAGCAGATATGACAAAATACCCCTAACTTTCATGCTATATCCATTTAGCCTAACAAATTGCCGAAACAGCCAAGTCTTTACCAAGGCAAAGAATAAGTAGTGAAGGAGGTAGGCAGGTCTAATTCAGGAGTATTTTCTGCAACCTGGGCACCACAATCAAATTGCTGTCACATGTGACTGTGCACCCTTAGGAGGGCAGGTGCTCACAGAGATTGACCTGAGAAGGAGCAGATTCACATGGAGAACATATTTTCCTTAAGATGTCCCAATTATAGATCACTGGACCAATGCAGCTACTCTAGTCTAAGCCTACTGATTTCAATGGGTTTAGTTTGGAGTATCTGTTGGATTAAGCTTCAGATATCAATGTTAGCATTTTGAAAATTAACTGGCGACTTCAAAGATGATGTATAATCAGATGGATAGCCCAGGCTAGCCTGATCTTGTCAGATCGTGAAAGCTAAGCACGGTCAGTCCTAGTCAGTATTTGGCTGAGAGACCTCCAAAGAATACCAGGGTTGTGAAGTGGAATCCGGCAGTGGCAAACCACCTCTGAACGTTTCTTGCTTTGAAAACCCCATGGGATCGCCTTAAGTCAGCTGTGACTTGATGGCACTTTCTGCCACTACATGCTCCTTCCAATGAATTCCACATACAATTCATAGGGTAATATAATCTAGCTGTTAATAAATTATAACTAACTGTAGCCAGGCATATCTATCTGGCATACTAATCAAAACTGGAAAAAAGTGATTATTAGCTACTGCCATCACCTGGACTTCTGGGGAAAATATATGGTTGAGGAGCATCCCCAAACTACAAACATGAAGCTTTAGGAGGACCCCAGTCTCCTCTTAAATAGGGTACACACCAATCCCAAGAATAGTTAGCTCCTTAACCAGCTGTATCTTATCTGGATTGTGTTAGTTTGTTCCCTTACCTCCAAGTCCATTACTGATTTCAAGTAACAGTTCAGGGCCACCATAGTTTCCCTGGGAACTAATGGAAAAGACAGAAAAAGTTGGGTACCTTAGGTGATGTCACCTATCTGTTTCATACAGATGTTTAACATGGGAGAGAAGATGGTTCCTTGCAACAACACACAAACAAAAGTCCATAGAGTGGGGCAGCAATATTTGAACTTCACTTTTGGAACCTCCAGGAACAACTGAAACCACCATGACACTATACCCACCCCTGTCCCATCATGGCCAGTTGTCCCAGAAGGACACCATGGTTGATGATGTTGAATGCCACTGAGAGGTCCAAAAGGTTCACCAGAGTTGCACTCACCCTAAACATCTCATGCTGAAGAGCACCCTCAAGAGTGACAAGGACATTTTCAGTCCCAACCCACATTGGAAAGTAGATTTAAAAATTAGTTACAACTCACTTTACCAGCTTATTATTTATTTATATCCTGCTTTTCTCCATTCTGGGGACCGAAAGCTGTTTTATCACATCATTTGCTTCTCTTCCACTTTTCTCCCACAACATTAGCCTAGTGAAGTAGATCACTCAGAACTTTCACGGTTGAAGCAAGGTTTCAAACCTGTTTCACCCAGGTCCTAGTCTAATCACTATGCCATGCCAGCTCAGGTGGATAACAGCCTGTGTATTAACAATATATTAGTGTTAATAAAGCAATAACATCCAAACAGAATAGAACATTTCTTTCTAAAATTATGGCAAATGAATGGGAAAGTCAATTCTTTGGTCTTCCTAGGCTGATTTTTCTGTGTGACTGGAAGTTGGTTCAGGAATTCCATTTCCCATATATTTAAAGGAACTCAGGCATGAAAAAGTGGCTCATTCAACACGAAATCTTAAATGTTGCATTTTATCAAATGCCAATAAATTCATATACCAGTCTTATGATGCCGAAGTTACCAAAAGGAAGAGAGGGAAAAAATGTTCAAGATAATGCACCAACCTAGTTTCTGAAAAGATATTAACAGACCTAGTCAAAGTCAAGTCTATGGTGAACATGGCACTAAAATTTAACGTGCATTTTAATGGAGGTCACTATGAAGTCCACCACCCATTATAGCAATGGCTTGAAAATGGTTGCTTATTAGGTTGGCAACTCTTTGACTCATGAATGATCATTGTATTTTTTTTTCATTTCAGAAGGCCTGTGAGATGCGCACACGATGACAAAAAACCTTGGCTGCACAGCCTCAACTTTTCCCTCTTAGCATCCATTATGCTTGTTTATTAAATAACTTTTTTTCCCATGCACTTCTAGGAAAGCCAAGAATATATTCATCTCAACTGAGATATCATAATAATCAGACCTTGGAGCAGACTATTTCCCCCGTCTTACTCCCTACCTGTCAGGCCAAATGGAGCAATGGGACTTGACAGCTCTGGGTTCAAACTTAATTCATCATTAGGAAATTATTCAAAAAGCTATAATGAGATAACTAATTTAATACACTTTGCTTCAAGGTTTATTCCTTGGCCAGCTTCCCAGATACGAAGTGTCTCTGTGCAATTATCACGCAGATGCCACTAAAAGACTTTAAATGGCTGCAGCTAATTTAACAAGAGATATGTTGGCATTGGGAAGGAGGTGCTGGCCCAAAAACAGGACATGACTAAAGAATCAACACAATCTCTAAAGGAACATCAGCAAGAGACTTTCCCCCAACATTTTATAATACTCTCTTCCCATAATCATTTGTGGGGAGGAGATGGTTCAAACGTCTCTTCCATTTAGCAATGTTGATTACTGTTCATTATGTCCAAGGGGTGCCCTTGATTAGGAAGTTTCAGAGGGTAGCTGGGTTGGTCTGCAGTAGAACAGATTTTAGTCCAGTAGCACCTTAGAGACCAACAATAGTTTCAGGGTGTCAGCTTCCAAGAGTCAAAGCTGCCTTCATCAAGACACAGTACAGTAGAAATGGAGATATGAGTACTTTTATCCTAGTCAGAGGGTGCCTTTAAATGTGGCCTAGGCCTACCCCATAGCTGCATCCCACCCACGGCACAAGCCAAGCCCTCTGTTTCGGCACTGCTGTATTAAATCCCACCCCCCTAGTGGAAAGCAACAGTAGAATCAGGTGCCATACTCAGTGGCAGAACATATGCCTACGTCCTCGGAATCACATGCTGGCACTGGGATTTCAAACACCTGAGAAAAGAAAGACCTCATCCTGAGACTCAAAGGGCTGCTTACAGATGGAAGAGCTAGTACTGGTCTGGAGGCCAATGAGCTGACTCAGTACGGACAGCTTCATATGTTTGTCTGATAAGTCATTGCTAATCAGAATGACAGACTGCAGGGAATATAAAGATCAAGGTCACAAATTGCTAAGAAGTCCTCCTTGCAAGTTCCACAGGACTGAATGAGAGTTGTCAATGTAGAGAGCCAGTCTGGTGTAGTGGTTAAGTGCGCGGACTCTAATCTGGGAGAACCGGGTTTGATTCCCCACTCCTCCACTTGCACCTGGGCTGGATGACCTTGGGAGGGCCATAGTTCTGACGAGAGCTGTCCTTGAAAAAGAGCAGTTTCTGTCAGAGCTCTCTCAGCTCCACCTACCTCACAGGGTGTCTGTTGTGGGGAGGGGAAGGGGAAGGAGTTTGCAAGCCGCTCTGAGACTCCCTTGGGTAATGAAGGGCGGGGTATAAATCTAATTTCTTATTCTTCAACTTCTCATCAGATTATCCCTTTAAAATGCCTACACAAAGCCATAGAAAGATGCCTCCCCCAGGTATTTGACATTATATACTATGCAGTTAATAAAATCTGTTTCCTGAATCAGGTGAGTAGGATTCACCATCATTTGGGGAACACAGGCTGATGAGACAGTTCCAGGGCCCCTAAGACTGATCTTGTTACAACATCCAAACTGTGTTGTAGTTGCATACATGGAGGCACTGCTGGATGTTAAAAGATTTGCACCCTGGCTGTCCTGCTGCTCAGATGTAATTCTAGCTTATTCTGTTCCTCAGCTATGGAAATTTATGTACTTGCAGTCAGATTGGAATGACATGAAATCTATAGTAGGGTCTTTTCTCCTATTTTCATGGCCCTGGAGAAGGATTAAAAATAATGTTATTACTACAAAAAAATTTTTAATGAGCCACTGCCTCACCTGTCATACAGTAACACAAAGGTCAAGAGAACACCACCATCAGATAGGAACATCTTCCCTCACTATCACGTTACAATGCAGATCAGTCATTTCAAATGTGGTTCAATTCCAAAGTTGTCATGATTCACAAATTTAAAGAAATCCACACAACAGTTCAACACAAGGGGGAAAAATAAATTATCTTGTATAAAATAATCTTGGGAATAACATGGTCCCCTTACTCGTGAGGCGATTCTGGGAGTGCCACACAATACGGAAAGACATAGTCATCGTTGGAGAAGAGACCTGCAAAGCCACAAGGTTGCAGATGTGATGAGCGGAGAGGGAAGGGAGAGTCTCTTCAGAGGACGCTAAATAAGCCTGGAGTTTTGTAGGAACAGGATGAGCACTTGATAGACAAATTTGTACTGAGCAATGGTTTGGATCATGAACATCCTCTGATCCCTCAGATGTTGCAGCATCACCGGAACATCCACTTTCTGTGAAATTGAAGAGAAAATTCACTTAAGTATTTTGCATATGGCAACTCTAGTAAATGACTGCAGCATGGTAAAGGGGGGGGGGATGCCACAGACTGCAGTTTCCTTTCTGTTTGGTTCGTATTGCTGTCCACATCATATCTAGAACCTGCAAGGTTTGTAAGAAGGGACCTTCTAGATGCAAGATTATGAGAAGATGCTCAATCAATATACCCAGCACCTGTGAGCCACATGGGGGGTTGTACTGGTTCCATTGCTAAACAATGCTAAGCTGAATGAATGGGGCAAAGAGCTAGCATGAGTGATGGCAGTCACTGGCCAGCACAGTCACATGCCCCACGCTAGCTGCTCCTTCTTGTCTGAGGCACCATTTCACGCACTCCTTGCTCAGTGCTACAGCTAGTGAGGAAAGGGACAATCCACACAGGAAGCATTTTATCGCTGCTTTCAGTGACTTCCCATTTGTGCAGAGGCCGCACTAACTAAATGGTGGCCAACTGGGGGTGGGGGCAAAGACAACAGAAATCCAAAGTTTCACTCTAGCATACACTATATAACATAGGTGACTTGGGTTTCATTGAGAAGTTTGCTAGCCGCCCTGAGCTACCGGATAGGGCGGGGTACAAATCCCAAAATAAATAAAATAAAAATGAATAAAAGTGAAATCAGCTGGGCATTTGTTAAACACCCCCCCACCCCAATCTGCTGCATCTCAGCAAGTCCAGGAGGCGGCAAAGTTTTGAGCATGGGATACAAGACACACACACCCGGCCAATGTACTGGGTCCAGAGCAGAATTTCCTCAGCAGCAGATCAGCTGGGGCGCTGGCTTCTACTGGCTGCAAAGTAGCCTGTTCCTGTGCATACACATGGACAGTTTGCAAACAGTCCATTCATGAATCGGCTGCCTGATCACCACTAGCAAAACAGCCTAACTGGCAGGTGTTTAAGTATTTTAGAAATCACAGGACCAGATGTTTCCCCAACAAGCTATAATTTTTATAACCATTACTAATACAAACTTAAGTGAAAATACAATGCAACTGACTTTGTAACTAGCACACTTTGGACAAACTGCAAAAACTAGTTTGCTGAAATCATGGCACTAGGCAACTCAGTTACTCTCAGAACAATCTTAAGACAAGACAGCAACACCTGACCTCTTTGTTGGGGGGGGGGGGAAACTAGTAAGAAGACAAACAAACCACAGGAAGAAATTCAAAGACAATGCCATATAAAAGCACAGAAACCTGCTACTGAAACAATGTAATTATCTAAGCTATGTGAGTATAAATTAGTAAGCTATCAAAACAGGTATGTGAATGAGGTTATGTGAACAGAAGCTTTTTTTATATGAAGAAAAATTACGGTAAACTGCAAATACAGTAGCTGTTTATCATCTTTATGTAAGAAAAGGAGAACAGTAAAATGAAAAATCTGATTTTCACAGGGCAAACTGACAGTTTTTTTTATTTCAGATTACAATCTGTTTGTCTTACTGGTGCAGAAGCTTGCTCTGTGTCAATGGTCTTGGTTCACTCACCAAGTCATTGTCCTTCTATCCACCAACCAAAGCTTCTACCCCCTTTAATGGAGCTCTGATCCATTAGCATGCTCCTCACTACATCTATTCTCTCTCAACATAGCCTCCTTCTCTGCCATCATCCTGACTAGAAGAGTCACATACTGATGTACCACATCTTTAGTACGCCACTTTACAGAATGAAAAAGTAGTTTCTAAATTTACCCAATACTTTCATTTGCGCCTGTCTCCTTCACTAAATTATTTACAAGGCACCTCCCTTTCTCCATCTCTATTTAGGTAAAGGTTCCCTTGCTCGAAAGCCAGTCGAATCCGACTCTAAGGTTGCGGTGCTCATCTCCGTTTCAGAGCCGAAGAGCCAGCGCTGTTCAAAGACGTTTCTGTGGTCATGTGGCCAGCATGACTAAACACCAAGGTGCACGGAACGCTGTTACCTTCCCACCGAAGTGGTACCTATTTATCTACTTGCAATTTCTTGCTTTCGAACTGCTAGGTTGGCAGGAGCTTGAACTAGAGATGGGAGCTCACTCCGTCATGCGGCAACTCAGGTCTCGAACTGATGAACTACTGACTTTCCACAGCCTGCAGTTCAGCGTCTTAACCACTTGAGCCACTGCAGCTCCTATTTATTTCTATCTCTACTTATTTATTTATCTCTATCTCTCTATCTCCATCTCTCTATCTGCCACACCAAAATGAGGTACTTCTTTCAAAGAAATTGGCCTGTGGAATTTGCTGCTGCAATGATATGGTGATGGCCAGTAGCTTATACAAGTTCACGGAGAACAAGTTCACCAATAGCTATTAGCTATGAAAACTGAATTAAACTCCACCTTCAGAGAAAGTACCCCTCTGAATACCAGTGCTGGGGGACAACAACAGAGAAGAGGCTTTGGCTTCCATGTGGATATCTACTTTCCCACTGTATGAAACAGGTTGCGGGATTTGAAAAACTTTGGAGGGGGGGCTGCTCAAGCCTGAATTCTGAAACTGTATCAGGGACCCAAATAATCCAGAATATCAGTATGGAAACCAATCTATCGCTTCTCAGCCTTTTGGCTAAGATCAAGTGTGTGTGTGAGAAATCAATTCAAAATCCAAATCCTAAAACTACTGAATTGTCTTCAAGTGCACAGCCCCACCCCAATGGCAGAGCCCATCAAGGCACTGTTTCCCTTCCTCCCCATCCTACTTCAAACATGTGCAGATAAGCATGCAAACTTTTCCTTTGCAGTCCTCTACTCTTCCAAAGAATGTTGCTGTGTGGAATCTGATCATTAGCTCATGACCTAATTGCTTTACGAAGCCAGTCAGAACATGGTCTTAGTCTGAACAAGGGAAAAAATACAGGCCAGTTTAGACTCGTATAGCCTAGCCCAAATCTTAATAGTTGTGCATTTGACAGAAGTTTGGGATATCTTTTTCTGCTTGGTGAAAAAACAGTCAGTTACTACACATACACACTCCCATGTCAGCCTTTTGTGCCTTTTAGAGAACTGGGACATGTTTTTTGCATCTCATAGTATCTCTCAATAGTCTCTTTTATTTGCATTTTGACTTGCAAAAATCTTGCTAATCCATCTCCAACTGCCTTGATTGATCCCTTAATGCCACAACAGAAGCACCTTTCTCCTTCCTTCATTCCTGTGTTCAGATTAGGGGTGTGCATTTAGCAAAAACTGAGCCAACTATATAACTGAATAAGGCCTTATCAGCATTATTTGGGCATATATTCAGCCGAATGTGATTCTCCAATGTGTATTTGGCAGCCAAATAGAGAACTCCAAATATATTCAGGGTTCCCGAATCTATTTGGTTCCATTATACCCTATGGGGCCATTGTAGTCAATGGCAAATCTCTCCTAGGGTATATTCAGGGGCATGAGGGGAGAGGGGTTTGAGGTAGAGGCATCAAATTTGCAGTGTAGCTGCTGGAGCCTCTCCTCAAAAGAACACCCAGTACCACTGTGGCAAAGGTCAAATGTTAGAATCTCTTAAGTACAAACTACTAGTGCCAGTGGAATAGGCCAGCCCCACAGAATCACAGTCCAAACGAGGGGGACGAGGGTTGCAAGGCCAGCAGAAGCAGCGCAACAGTACCCATCAACCCCAGTACCAATGTGTCATTGCCAAGAAACCAACTGGACTAAGGTCAAATGTGAGAATCTCTTAATTATGAACTGAGGGGTGGCATTTCTGCAAGGACAGCAGAAACAATACACTGTACAAGAAGCCAGCGGCAGAACTCAACCAGTGCCAACCTACTAGTGCCCCACAGCAGCAACCTGTGCCATTGTGGCAAAGGCCAGCCCCACATATCTGATGTCAAGCACAGCCACAGATTCACAGTCCAAGCAAGGGGAGGGGGGTTGCAAGGAAAGCAGAAGCAGCACAACAGTGCGCTTCAACACAACCCAGTGCCAAAATGGCAGTGCCCAGAAAGAGCCAAAGACAGTGCCCCCATCCCACCATTTTTTCCAATAGTGGGGAAAATAGCACAATAAGCCCCGTAGATTCTCCCAGAGAATATCTGCAGTAGAAAGTGTTTTGTGGGTTTTTTTAAAAAAGTTAAAGAGATAGACTTACCTTCTCGTCCTTGCTGTTTCCCACCATTTCTGCCTGTTTGCTCTGATTTCCAGGGCAATGGGGGAGGGGGATCTCTGCAGCCAATCACTGCAATGCATTTGCAAATGGCATTGCATTGCAGGCTGGGAACTTTGTAAGGTTGTTGCTGAAGTTCAGCAACTACCTTGCTTTTTCTGCCCCTCCCCTTGCTCAGATTGAGTTTCTGTGGCTGTGTTGATATCAGAGCAGACCTGTAGGGATGGCCTTTGTCACAGGGTGCTGCTGCTGTCCTTGCAGTGTACTGTTTCGGCTGTCCTTGCAGAAATGCCACATCACAGTTCGTAATTAAGAGATTCTCACATTTGACCTTAGTCCAGTTGGTTTCTTGGCACTGCCACAGTGACACTGGTTCTGCAGGGTACACTACACTGGTTCTGTTGCTGGTCTAGCAAACAATACCCCCCACACATTTCACTTTCTACTGCAGAGATTCTCTGGGAGAATCTCTTCTCTGCCGGACTAATAGATTCTTCCCACCATTGACAAAAATGGTGGGATGGGGCACCCTGTTGGTAACTCTACCTCAACCCCATCCGGCCCCTGTAGTCAATGGCCCCATAGGGTATAATGGTGCCGAATAGATTCCAGAATCCCGAATATTTCCTGAATAGGGTATCCATGCTGATCTTGATATTCAGAAATATTGGGCTGTACCAAATATATTCAGGTCAGAGAATCCTGAATGGGAATAATACCGAATATTTTTCCTTGCACACCCCTAGTTCAAGTCTCACCTTCCGCATTAAATGCAAACCATCATTTTTATTCCATCTAAATCTGCAAATTCTAGTTTGTACTTCCTTTCCTAATCAGGATTTCAAACCAGGTTTTGAAGCCAAATGCAATCCTAGTTTGGATTTGGAATATAAATAATAAATTGCTGGTTAAAAAAAAACCTAGCTATGGCTTGCAGCAAACCAAAGCAACAAATCTAATAACACACTGAAGTGGAAGGGGTACATGAGAACAGGGCTCACTCACAAAGGGTCAAACCATGGTTTAGCATTATGCCAAAACAAACAGCTGGGGAAAATGGGGGTTTCCCTGATAGTGAATATGCTCCCACAGAAACGGATTTTGATCTGCCTGGTTTCAGATTCTTCACATTCAATCAGAAAACAAATATTTATTTTATTGGTTTAAGAGCTTGTCTAAATATTCTTAGAAAGCACACCCACCACAGAACACACATTGAGGAATAGCACATTTTAATCCCCCCCAAAATTTTAAAAACACCACTAAAAGTAAAAACTCAAAACACAAAATCAAGTCATAAACTGTGCAAGGAGAAGGTGTTGTGTGTGTCGGAGGAGCATTCCAACTTGCAGCTCCTTTGTGGACATCCTGAAATGCTACAGAAAGGCAGCAATACAAGGGGGTTTTAACTTTAAAAACATGTAGACTGCCTGTAAGAGGGGCACACTCCAATGAATATATCCTGTGCTTAAATTAACAAACAAAAAACAAATAATGTGAAAATATGTACCAAGGTAATCCATACTCTCCCCAGACAGATTCTCAAAAGCTGGATTTTTTAATCCTTTTATCAATTAGGCCAATTTGCACTGATTTTCTCGTTTTACTTCTTTTATTTTCCTGTTACTAAGTGTTCAAAAGGAAAAAGAGTTATGTTGGGACTGTCAAGGTCCACGTCCCATCTATTGAAAAGGCTACACAGTACACTTCTCATTCTTCAGATTTGCTTTGAGCTAACCTTTGCTGTAGGACTTGTAATGACAGATTAATACGTAAAGAACTCTTGTGGAAGAGGTATGTGCTTACCTCATTGTGCTCCAAACAGCCAACCATAAGTTCTGTTAAAATAACTACCCCTGTCCTCCCCACGCCAGCGCTGCAGTGCACCACAATGGGAGGGTTGCAATTGTTGCTACTGTCCAGAACACTGTTGGTATGGCGGCGCACAGACTGTATCTCTTCCAAATAGGCTGTAAGGGAGAAGGAAAATAAAATTACAGTCCCAACCCCTTCACATAAAAGATGACAAATCTATGGAGAAGCAAATTTCTTTTTAAATTATGATAATTTACATTTCTTATAAGACACTAATTGTTTGGCCTCTGGACAGCAAAAGCACTGAATCCAGTAAGTACCAGCAGGGTGTCAATTACTCCTTGGGACTTTGGCCCTTTAATTTAAGCAGCTCTTTAAAACACACACATATCTCCTGCAAATCCCCAAGTCCCTTAAGCAGATGACTGTAGACATTACTTACAGCTATTCCTGCTATTAACAGGCTGGGATCACAACAGCAGCAAGGTCCCCTTGAAACAAATGCCCGTCAGTGCCAGTATCTAATGGAAAGGGAGCATCCATCTGGTCTTTCCCTTCCCTTGCAGAAGGAATCAGAATTTCAAACATATCTCCAACTATGCTGCACAAGCAAGAGTTGGGACTGTTTCCAGCACAGAATTGTGTAGGGTAAAAAGTGTGTACGTGCCCATGTCCACCTTCATGTGTGAAAACAAATAATCTATTTTGTCATGATTGTGTGTGCTTGGAAGCTACAGTGTAATGACAACAAAACAGATGCTTGTGCGATTTTTTACACATGATGGTGTCTACAAATAATTTCTTTCCCTAAAATGACTATGGAGACCAAAGGCACTGAACAAAATGCTGGCAAAGGCCAGAGGTAATGCAACAACGTTGCCAATGTCATCAAGAAAACCCAATTGTTATGCAAGTTTCTCATTGCAAACCATTCTGGTAAATACCCCAAAAGTGGCAGGATTACACTTTCACAGGAATATGGAAGAAATCTTACAGAGGAAGCCTTGTTCTTCTGGACAACCATGATCTGGCCAGTCGGTATACTGCAAATGCCACACTGTTTTTTCCTGCCCCGACAAAAGGTGCTTGACCTTCAGACCTGTCGTGGCATAGCAACCAGAATCAGTGCGAAATTTGGTGGTCACCTTGAACTTCCCATATGTGGCTGAGCTGTGCTTGGAGCCCAACTTGGGCCAGTAACGGTGGCTCTTCGTTCTTCCTCTTTCCTATTCCATAATAGCAAGAGAAGCAGAAGTAAAATTAATGTGGCTTGGCTCTTATTGGTCACGGCTCCAATAGTCACAGACTATAACTAACCATTTGTCACTGCAAATCAAGTACCCCTTCTTGTTCTCTGACCTAGTACAATAGTCAATTTTTCTATTCTCAGGGGTCAATGATTAGAAATATATGAACGCCTGACTGAATGGATGCTCTTACGTCCTAAATACATATTTTCTCTCCCTTGCAAGACTTGATTAAAAGTTGATGCCACCCAGGGCCAGATAACATGACTTCAAGGGAGTGGCCATGGATCAGTGGTAGAGCATCTGCTCGGCATGCAGAAGGTTCAGTCCCCAGCACATCCAATTTAAAGGGCCAGGTAGTAGGTGATGTGTACAAAACTATGCCTGAGACCCTGGAGAGCCACTACCAGTCTGAGTACACAATACTGACTTTGATGGACCAGCGGTTTGGTTCAGTATAAGGCAGCTTCATGTTTCCACCAAATTCTAGTGCAAGGTTCAAATGTGCCCTGTGGGCCACCAGATGGCCATCTCTGGAACAGAGAATGCTGTAATACAGCATCACAGGCAGAGAGTCTGGAGGTACAAACTGAGCTTCCCTAAAAATTCACAACCACAGCCTGCACCTTTGGCCACTTAAAACCTGGAACAAGGCTTCAAAAGGACTGTCTTTTATTGTGTCATCTGGTGTCTTTATGAGAGGTTTATTTCAGTTGTGGACAGAAAGCTCCTGAGGTACACATGTGGAGATCTTATGGGAACAAAGACATGAGTAGTGGGAATTAACAGAATGCTTTAAATCTTTCCTCAGTTTTTTTATAATCTTGATATTATGCATGTCGTCTGACTACAAAAATATTGCACAACACCACATTATGTGTCAAAAAGAATGTCCTGGTTCTCCAGACTATTTTAGAAAAAGTGTACAGCTAGAGTGATATGGTACTGATGCATTTAGCTGGGAGAAAACAAAATCACTGTTTCATTTGTGACTGCTACTCCGCCAACCACCCCGGGGCATCATTCTGTACTCTCCCAGAAAGCAGCTGGCCAAGAGGGGACAATACTGCTCGGCTGCTCCCACTCAAATGGGGAACATCTTCCTTGCTTCAGGGCAAGCTGGGATGCAGAGTTGTTCCAGGACTGCCCTTTCATCATACAGCAGGCATTCCCGTTACGGGGGGGGGGGGGGGGGGGAGAGAAGCACCATCTCAGGACAGCGAAGATTCCCTGTTGTATCTCTGCACGCAATGAGTAAGAGCCTTATTATAAATGCATGCACATCATCATAGTTCAGGCCATGAGACAGCCCAAGTATCTGCCATTGTTCAGGCAGAGGCGCCCTCCCTGGTCAGATTATTCTGTAACTGTGCATTGAGTGGACTCTTGCTCCCCCTTCTGAACAGCTGACATTGGTAAATGTTTAAAATGGAAAAGACAGGCCATGCCACTAAAAAAGAATGGCTGTTCCTCGGTGGCCATTAAGGCAGCAGAGCTCTGAACTGGATACAGGGCTGGTTACTGGGAGCTGCCAGTTTTACAGCACAACATACAGTTCTGGGATCAGAAAAGAACCAACTGCGGTACTTGGCAAGGGAAATAAGAGAGGATTTTTTTTTTAATGGACACTTTTACAGGAACAACAGCTTCTGGTCTCTTGCAGCTGATAAGGATGCTAGTGTGCAGAGGTGGCCTTGGATGAGATACGAATGCCATTCTTTGCAAACAAGAGCAGCTTGGCTTTCTCAGAATTCACTGGAATTATCTTTGCTTTGTTTGGCATGCTACAATCTTCTAATGCAGCTAAACATTCATTATTATATTATGTGGCAGGCTGAATGCCAAAATGTTACGAATGTGGTTGTAACTGTTTAGTCATCCTAGGCTGAAGTTCAAAAGGAAAATTCAAAATGAGCAGAGAGAAAACAAAAAAGCTATAGGGAGATTATTAAAGAGGGGGCTTCTTACGTCATAAAAACAACCACTCTGGGCCTCACCATCAAGGACTAGCTCACTTAAACAGGAAGAAGAAGAAGAAGAAGAAGAAGAAGAAGAAGAAGAAGAAGAAGAAGAAGAA